TTGCTGAAGCTCAAAGTGCTATGGGGCTTGTGTTAATCAGAATATTGGACTGCATACCATTCAATAGTCTCTTTGTTTCTGATTCCAAAACTGAATATGCTAGATTCCTATTATACCACACCAGTGAAAACTCAAAAAAAAATTGTAACACAGGAATGCAGTCGTCAAATGCCCCAAATTAAATGTTAGTTAGGCTTCTAAGTAGGTGGTTGGATAAATTAAAATATTAAGGCCCTGTTACCCAGCTCTGCAGGATATGGACAACTTTTTTTTTGAAAAGAATATTTAATTTAATACTTTTCCCTTCACAACATACATCAATAATGATTACTAATGTTATGAGCTGGTGCTCTGAACCTAAAGTTTTCTTTGCTACTGTACAAATAATTTGGCTTGTGGCCTTGGCATTTACCCAATAAGGCAATTTTAGTGAGTGATGCACCATATGGTAGTGAACATATTAAGGAATCTTGTAAATCATCATTCCTTGATTAGTACGAGCAAAATGTTAACATATTCCTGTCAAATTATTTTGATACTTATTACATTAAAGTAACTTTTGGGCCACGTAGAGGCTCTCAAAACACCAGGGCTGATATTATATTATTTGTTTGCATAACTGTTTGGATTACATTTTTGGTTGCATGCATAAGAGGGCAATTTAACCATAAACATTGAGCAGTTTTCAATGTAGGAACATTTGATGATCTGTGAGTCATTTTACTTATGACCTGGAGATGAAAACACTTGAGAATTTAACATTCCTGGAGGGATTCTGGATTAAGGATTTCTGATAGATTAACTGCAGCACTATCTGGGTTGAATAAAATTCAGACAATCTCAGAAAAGAGGCCATAGTTTATCGACTCTTCACTCTTTGCTTCATGATGCGTGCTTTAAAGTATGTGCTTTATTTTCCTTTTGTTATTATTGAAAATTTAAGTGAATATAGGTCAGTGAACTGCAGTGACTCAACAGAAAAGAAGAAAATCTAGATAAATGAAGAGAAAGCAGTTAGGCAATGCCAAGCTTCAGTTTCAAAAGACTTTAGCGTGTAGGATGAAGGGAGGTCTGCGGGAGGAAAGGAGTTCCACAGTTTACAGGTCCTGGGAAAGAATCAGTTAGTGTAAAGACAAAGTGATGAGTTTTGATTTCAAGGCAGTAATGATGCGGGAAAGAGGAAACGCCATTCATTTAATGTTTAAGAAGAACTGAGAGGAAAAACAAAAACAGAGAAGCAATGACCAGAGTGCCATCAGTAAGAGGGAAAGAGAAGAAAGGTTGTTAGAGGAGAGTTTACTGGACAGAAAAAATGGAGACCTCGAATGTATTTCAATATGACCTCTTCCTTATTCAAGGTCTCTTATTGTCGAAAGAAATGAAAACGTCCACCAATGCAACAGTTTTTTTTTCTTCCATGGGCTGAATTAATCATACAACCTCTATCTCTACCCAAGAGATCAAATGCCTGACCGATTATAAGAACACGTAAAAATCCAAAGGAATGTATGTATGTATGTATATATGTATGTATTATAATGTATCCATTGGTTCTGGATTCCAATCTGCTATAGGTAAAGAGAGTTGGACTTGAATAATTTCACTGATTGAAGTAACGACGCAATATTTTAAATATGTGGCATCATTAACTGAGCAGCGTTCTTAATTTAGCCACGTTACTTGGGCGGCTAATGCCTTTCCAAATCTTTACAGTCTTTTTAACAACTGACACCTCCCCCGCCCCCTCTCCTCCTTGAGGATTCCTATTGGAAAGGCAAAACGATTGCTTCACAGGCAGAACATTTTTGAAGTTCATGTGTTTAACTGCAGCAAGGCTGGACCGAATGGGTCAGCAAAGGTCTGATTGACCATGGCTCTTCACCTGCCTTGCTGGCAAAATTGCAAAAAATGTATCTTTCAATGAAATGTATCTGAGAAGTCGACGTTTGATCTCGTGGGTATATATAAAAAAAAATCGATTAGAATAAATGGGCCAGTTCTCCACAGCTTGAATTTGTAGCAGCAGACTCACAGATAAGTCATTTTTGCCCAAACGTTTCAAAGTATGACCTTTATGCGTGTATTATTACACAATAAATCTTACCTCATCATAACTGTTGTGTAATAAACGTCTTCATGTTTCTTTTACTTTGGCAAAAGACATATCCTAGACATGTAACCAAAACAAGGACTGAATTTTACATAGCATTATTTTTCTATCTAAAAAAAAAAGCGAATTAGGTGCACAATTTGCAATCCGGTGTCACCCCGCTCCTTTTATGTGCTCATTTACACTTGAACGGGGGGGGGGGGTGGTGGAAGGGGGGGGGGGGGGGGGGGCAATAAACCTCTTCCTTCATTGCTGCTAATACACCAGGATTTGATGAGCGTTTAGTCACTGGCGATTCGATACTTTATATGGCGTTGGTTATTTTTGATGTGCAAAAGAGCAACGGTGCTTTGCTGCGATTGTGAGGCGGTCATATATCCTGAGAACCGTTAATCTCCAACTTGACCACATCGGTGCCCATTGCTCTTTTTGGAGACTGACGCGTGGTGCGTAAATCACCGGTCCATCCACAGAGAAGAGCGCTTCGCCCGAATTTTTACGCAAAGCGCTGGTTACAATGAAATCTGCGAGACAGTGCCAGGGACGGTGTCATGGGCTTTATAAGGTGATCAACGAAGATGTCTACACAGGGATCCCTTCCCCACAGTCATCTCACAACCTCACTGGCCGCGGCGGGTGTTGCAAACGCACAAGAGAGTGACTTAAAGACAAAGTCGCGAGGAATGGAAACTTGTGCATTTTTGTTCGGCTGCAAAATCCAATCGGTTTTTTTTTTTTTGTGTGTGTGTGGAGCTCGACCGAACCAGTTGATGTTACGCTGTGTTTTCCTCGAATCAGTGTCGTCTTTCAAAGAAGCGATTGACTGATTATAATTCATAAACACGTTGCAAAATGTTATTTTGACACTTGGGGAGGAAGGGGGCGGTGGGTGTGGGAGGGTGTGTGTGTAGGGGGGGGGGTTAACCTTTCGGAACACATGTACTTTAGAACAAAGATTTTCGCATTATCGGTGGTATAATTTGATGGAGATTAATATTTCTGCTGGTTTCCTCTGCTGCCCTCTCAGACTCCTTTTCTGCGCATCGCCAAGTGCAGACCCGACTTGTCTAAGCCGTGTGTGTTTGTGTGATCAGAGCGGCTGGGGTGGGTGGGGGTGGGTGGGTGGGGGTGGGGGGGGTCGTGAAATTGCTTGAGTCATGAGATGGAGAGGAGTGTGTGTGTGGGTGGGTGGGTGGGGGGAGATGGGGGGAGATTTGAAACACAATTGTAATCACAGCCCTCATACGACCAAAGGAGTTACTGGAAACATTGGAACATTCATCCTCAGAACTCAGCATCATCTGGTCGCTCCAATACAAAACACTTCTCTTTTTTTTTGGTGTGTGTGTGGGGGGGGGGGGGGGTTGACCAAATGCTAAGCCTTTTCCTCCCAGTTACATATTTTGTGTTACTTTTGGGTGGGGGTGGGAAAGGGGCATGTGGGGGGGGGGGGGGGGGGAGGGGGGAATATGTTGGAACTGTACCTGAATCTGAGCAACAATTCTCAGAGGCGAGAGGGTGAGTTGGGAGCAGTGGGGTTGGTTTGCTGAACATATTGTTGTGTGGGGGTGAGAGTTTGTCAGATTTTTCTTTTCTCTGGAGGGATTTTGTGTGTGGGTGTGTGTGTGTCTCTGTGTGTGTGTGTGTGTCTATCTGTGTGTGTGTGTGTGTGTGTGTGTGTGAGGCTGGATATGAGTGTAATATCCAGCTCCGAGTGGTTGGTGTGTTTGAAGGCAGGAGCTGTCAGCGACTGCTCGTCCGCCCTTTGCCTGGTGCCTTGCCTGGTGCCTTGCCTGGTGCCTTGCCCTGCCTGCCCTGCCTGCCCTGCCCTGGGCGGCCTGGCTGATGGATGAGTTGTTAATGTAACCCGGCACCTCTCGACTTGGGGCGCCGCTTCTTCATCAGCTCGGGCTCTGTTGAATTATTGTTCACAGTTTGCTCGGCACCGCCACACGGCCACTTAAGTGGAGAGCAGACAATTAGCGCAAGGTGCATCCCGGAGTGCAAAAGGGATCAGAAGAGGAGGGGTGGGGGGTGTGTGGGTGGGTGGGTGAGAGGACGTTATGTTGCACAGTGTAGTCCATCACACCACACATCCCTGTGTTTACCACCCATCTATCTCTGGTACAACACGAGCTCAGTGTTACCCCGTTCCCCACAGGCTGTCTGTCTGCACTTTCACACCGTTAATTTCCCCTTCAGTACCGTTACACGCGATCCGGTTGTAATTCCCTGGTAATGCGGGTTCCATTCCACATCAACGCCTTTTGCTAAATTGACCCGATCTCCTAAATCATTGACCGAGAAACCCCCGTTGCAAAGTACTCAACACAGGGGAAGGGGAACAAACGCTGAGCAAAAACCCAAGTTGTTTTGAGGGCTGTTGGTTTATCAGGGACACAAGAGAAATGAGGCGGATATATTCTTAGGAACATAGGAACTGCTGGAGGGGGGGAAGGGGAAAAAAAACCAAGGTCCATCTTCTTCGCCTTCTAACATCCTGATAGTCACGAATAGACACATACACGGAAGACACAGACACACACACACACACACACACACACACACTTTCTCCCAACCAGTTATTTACCGTTAAATGTCTCGGAGAGAGAAAGAGCGAGAGAAAGAGAGAGAGAGAGAGAGAGAGAGAGAGAGAGAGAACGAGAATAAAAAAAATATACAGTTGTAAGTAACAACTCACCCAACAAGGTCATGCCCAGTCTACATTGCAAGTGAGAACAAACATTTCACGTGTGTGTGTGTGCGTGTGTGTGTGTGTGTGCGTGGAGGGTGGGAGATTAACACAAGAAAAAAGTAGGAGTTTGCACACTTAATATTTCCGAGACCAAGTTTCCCGAAAGAAAGACTGAACTGAACTGAACTGACTCACCGTAACAAGGGATTAAGGCACCGTTGTGGCTGACTTCTTGAATCTTGCTGCTCTGTGCAGGAGACTTGGCCGACCTGCCAGAGCTCTGCATGTACAGGTATTTGTTAAAGGGGCTGTCGCTGCCGGGGTTTGGAGCTCCGGTGTCCAATGGCTCACATTCCTGCTGGAAAGGGCTCCTCGATTTGTCGCCATAGCTTTGGCCTTTGCTGGCGAGGAAACTGGGGCTGAACTTGTCACTCGGCTGGAAGGTTCTGAAGGGAGAGTCCTGGTGCTCCCTTCCCTGCGGAGTCGGGTTATAGTACGAATCCATGGCTATGTCACAATAAGACACGCAAGTCTCGCCGTTCATTCCTAAATATATATATATATATGTATATATATATAGATGGATGTCCGAGTATTTTTTTTTGTGTGTGCGCGTCAAGACGAGATTCTTGTCGGACTGGTAGCACTTGTCGGACTGGTCCACAACTGGACTGGTTGTGTTGGGGGGGGGGATCGATCGCGGAGGATTGAGGAGACGACCTGAACTCCAGCCCTTGGTGGATTTTTTTGCAGGAGGCAGGAGCTTTGCAGATGCACCAACTCTTCTATATCCCAGAGTCTCGGCGTCTCCCACCTCTTCTCCCCCACCCCACCCCCTCCCTCCCCACACACACACACACACACACACACACACACACAATTAATATGTAGATCAGGTCAATGGGGAGGTCAGAGCCCCCTTTGCACAAAACACTTCAAAAAGCAGAGACAATTAAACACATGACAGTAATATAATTAGGAGATGAATATATATATCTGTTCTTATCTTAAAACGCAACCGGGACAATTTAATTGAGTGCGTTGCACTTGATTTGTAACGCTCAAGCAGTTGAGTGCTCGCTTTGTCCACACAGCACAGCCTCGCAGTTTACATTTTATGGTCATTTTTTTTCTCCCCCCCCGCCCCCCCTCCCACAACGTTTCAATATTATGCTCAAACGACTTACTTACGTAAGAGGTATTAAAAAAAAGAGCTATGCGCTTTTTTAAAAAAAAAGAAACAGAACGCGTACAGTCCGCAAACGGTTTTATTTAATAATAATAATAATAAATAATAATAATAATCCTTGTATTTGATAGAGAGCTTTATCACGTCTTCGAGACGTCTCAAAGCGCTGCACTGGACGTACTATTGCTTCGAGATTCCCGGAATAAGTGGCCTTTTTCTCTCCTCCCCACCATTTCGACTTTGTAACGCTGAACCGAATGCAGTTATAATATTAAAAGAAATCGAGACAACGGAGCGGGTTCTCCGAGTCTTTAACGAGGAGGTGTTCAAGAATCAATGTAATATATTTTGCATGTGTGTGTGTGTGTGTGTGTGTGTGTGTGTGTGTGTTTGAGCTTACCTTGCCTTTTCTACTCTGCCAGATTTATTTTTTTTTCAACTGTTGGCTCCAATCTTTGCCAACATTTCAGATTTCATATTGCTATGATAACCAACCAAGTTATTTCAGCAAAACGAGTATTTTCTTAATGGTTTGCAGGCGTATATCTGTGTGTCCAGCCCGCTTTTACAAACACAAACTCTTTTAACCTATTAGACTCTGGGAATCGTTCGAAATTCTTCTCCCCAGACCACTACAACCGGAGAGGTTTGCACGCCCATCACTTTATAACTTTTTTTATTGCCTGTATTAATTCTTTCCTTAAATAACCCGGGACCTAATGAAAACCAACTCAGAATTTCCGATTTAAACTTCCTTTCCCCTCATCCCCTGACAATTCAGTGTTAAGAGCCAGTTTCTGCAAATCCCTCAGAGGAAAGCTACTAACATCTTTAACAAATTTGTACGTCTACTTTTGCTAATATGTTGTAACGTGTATGTTTGCAATGACCTCGTCACAAAGTGGGGGAAATTATTTTTTTTTAATGGCTGGTGTAGTTGGACTTAAATACAAAGAGACAAGGTCCGTCACAACGTTAAATGTGAATAAATTATTAGTTGCAGCGTTGCAATTCGTATATTTGTGAAATAGCTGCACGGAGTAGAAGGTTTATGTATATACACACACATAAATATATATATATATATATATTGCTTCATAACAAATCGATTTTTTTTTTACAATTTTTAAAAGAGGATGGAGCGTAGCCGAAGATCTGGGATGATATTTTACTGAGTCTATAAATTTACACTTACAACACAGCCAGATAGAAAATGCAACACAGATGAGGATGTGCGAACTGAGGATTTTCATTCAAGAAAGCTTTTTGGTGTCTCTATTATATTTGCTGTGCTTCATTCAGCCTGTGAGCACGTTCAATGCTCACCGTTCATTTCCAGAGTGTGTTGTCTTGTAGGTCTGACTCCCATTAATTGCATTTGTTGACATTACCGACTTCTCTCGTTTTATCGCGGATTTGTTCTCTCTCCCCTTCACAGATATGATTTAATTCTTTTCAGTTGCACTTCGCGTCCTAAATCGTCGAGGAGATGTTTCTCACTTTCTGCAGCAATGTAAGTGCCTTATCATTGTTGTTGTTGTTGTTACTATTGGTATCGTTATTATTATTGCAAGTGTTATTGCTGTTGCTTTTATAATTATTATTACTTAATTATTGTAAACAGCTGCAAACTTCAGTCGAGGTGAACAAAAACTCCCAAATCAGGTATTCATTGAGCAAATAAGAGTATAGAATACCTCTCAGCAGCTATACACTTCGAAGGCAGAAGGACATTTATGAATTGTTTGAAAGTCTGTCTGTTGATGAAAAAACTATCGCCAAAAAATATTTTTATTTTTACACTCATCATAAGGGGTGTTTTTTTTTTTCCATGAACGTGGGACTGTTTGGTTTATGGTGTTCCTTTTTTTCTGTAAAAAGGGATTTTGTTTTTTTTAAAAAAAAACAATAAAAAGTAAAAGCGATGTTATGTTAGAAGTTCACACAATACATCACTGTTCGTCTGACATAAGTGTCTGCAGAGAGAAAGAAGAGAGAGAGAGAGAGAGAGAGAGAGAGCGATTTAACCCTTTCGGGAGAAAGGGTGCCAGGCAGGGGAATGTTTTGAAATGACTTCTGACTTGATATCCTGTGATATAATGCGGCGGGAGGCATTTGTTTGAGCGTTTAAATGGACCCTTTTCAGCTGCGTGCTCTTTTGAAGAGGTAAGACGGGTTAATAACGAACGCCAGCACGCGAAGAGTTAACCATGTTCAGACACCGTTGAATTTCTTGGGAATGTTTACAGTCAAAAAAAACACCATTTTAACCCGAGACACTGCAGACAGAGTCTGAATGTAGACCCTGTAAAGTGGCCAGTACATAGCTTGACCTTCTCAGCAAAACGATCCACCTGGAATATTGATCACACGAATGGTCTGTGAAATGATAAATAAACCACTGAGATATCCCGAGTCAAAATCTAAACAGGTGAAAGAAACAAACCCGCAGATGGATGTATTTCCCCCACGATCTGAGTTGTGTCCAGGGCCACCAAAATCAGACGGTTAAAGAACCGGTGAAATGTATTTTTTTTCACGAAACACTGGAATCACAGTGAACAAAAACCACCAGCAGCTGAATACATTGAACATGAATTTAATATTTAATCCTTGCATTTGATATAGCGCCTTATCAAGTCGCCGAGACGTCTCAAAGCGCTTCAAGTGGATTATTGAATGTGCATTTTTTTTGGGTGGTGGTGGGGGGAGGGGGGGGGGGGGGGCGAAACGCTAACAATTATTATTGATGTATTTAATACATAATAATAATAATTAAATGACTAACTAATGCAAAGCAAGTTGGAAGCCGGTTCTCAATCCATTCAGGAGATAGGTCGGGTACTGTATGAGGTTTATCTGGAACTTATTAAGACTAAACTCCTGAATGAAGACAACATTATTTGAACATTATTTCCGACCCTGCTGCAGTTGGAACCTGCATTAAATTTGGCTCGAGAAAGGGAGAACCTTTTAGCTTTAACTAAGCGATTTGAACCCTATGAGATGAAAATAAAACGACGTACTGGACTTGTGTTAAATTGATTCAGTGGCTTATCTGTCGGAGTGTGAAAACAGGTCGCAATTTGTTTAATCTTTCCCCTTTTTGATGTAATAGACTTACACTGGAGATTAAAATGGAGTTAGTAACCATGATGACAATAACCTAGCTGTGAGGATGTCAAGTGAAAGAGAGTTGTGCAATTTAAGTGTCGATTTTACACCTCGAGCACTTAATGACTGACATCGGATTTAAATGCCTTCAAAAACACTTTCACACAAATCTGCCCCCACCACAACCCTCCCACCCCCCCCCCCCACGAAAAAAAATATTCATGACATTGGCAACATGGATTGTCGAACAGATTTCGCATTTTATATGAAATCCTACATTTCTTAAACGACTGAAATCCCCTGAACTCCGTTTGTCCTTTTAAGGCTACGTTTTGCTCAAGGAAATAACATGGTATTGCTCAAAGCGTTAATAAAACGTTTGCTGCCGTAAAACTGTCCGTCCAAGTGCACAGTGAAATTTGCAGGTTGAACCCCCCCCCCCCCCCCCCCCTCACCACCACACACGACAGAAATCGTACTGATTGATACAACGAGAGGCTAAAACATTATTTGAGCGATGCAAGTGATCAGGATTTTGCAGAGACAAATACCAAATACTGTGAGAGAGCCATCCGCCAAAGGAAAGGCGCACTCCACGCTGAGAGCTGATGCAAAGCCATTGTGTGCCTGTGATAGATATCGTTGGGATGGCTTGTGTATTATTATTCCTAAACCTTTAGGTTGAGAGTCCTATCGTTTGATGTCACCAACCATTTCGAACAAGAGAGCAACGCGGAATTTGCACCCACGAGCTGGAAACTGGGTACACTGTAAAGCGACATTACACGACCAAAGAGGACCAGTCCAAATCGGGATAACGTGCCCTTTTGTGGCAACGCGGTGGTGTCAGGGATGGGTTTTGCTCTTTCCGCTCGTCCTTTTTGTTTCGATCGCCCTTCTTTAAACCAACATGGTTTATTTCGACGCTGCTTTATCTCACTGACCTCGGTAGCAGTTCCAGCTCTGGGTTGGAAAGTCCCAATTCAGGGGCATGAGGTTCCTGTGGGCCGGGTTAGCACTGCAATCCGCAGCCCACGTTGTGGAGGACACAACACTAAAATGCATTCCTGCGTGAGAGTGGTACGGAAGCGCTCGTGTCATGTGAAAATCAGTTGTAATGCAAAGTGCAACACATAAGTTTTCGTTCATCCATCAACCTGATTTGATTTATGTCGGTGTAAATACTATTGATCATCCCACAAACACCGCCCCCCCACCCATCTCTCTCTCTCTCTCACACA